TTAATAAGAAAAAAAATAAAAGCAAATTATAATAATAATCTTAAAAGACTATATTGTGTGTTGTTTTACAAATGCACTTTGGACATAAACCTTGAATCTTTTCTTAAAGAATAAAATTAAAAAAATAAAAAGAGAAAGAAAAAGGAGTATTTTATATATTCAATAAATGAAAAGATGTACGCGCAGGAATTCTTTTTTTTAAATAACAATTTGTTTTTTTTTTGTTCATTTCTTTTTTTTTTTTATAGCGTATATTTCCGCAATAATAGTGTTATTCAGTAGTCGTAACAATTCTCTTATAATACAATCGAATATGCTAAATGGAGTGATATATCTACAAAATGTTATAATTGTGTCGTATTTCTGCACTATCAAGGTAAATTCGGTAATAATTTCGAATCTGTAGAATATTCTAATATATAGAGAGAGAAATAGTCGTTTATGTACATATATATATATATATATATATATATATACACAAAAAACTATTTCTGTGTTGTGTCATGTATTATAATGAAGTATTCTTATGAATCAAAACTTATTCGAACCTATTCCTTACTTTTTTTTCTTTTAATTTTTTTAAATTTGCTTATAGGAGTTATTCGAGTTATTAGCGGTACATTTTGTTTACAAGTTGTAATGTTTTACAGTAACAGAAGAAAAAATTTATATACCCAAATCTTTTTTTTATAAGATTTAAAAATAACACAATCCAAAAAACCGCCCCCTTTCTTTTACACAATTTATTTCTTCCAATGCGATTTCAAAATCGTTTTGCTCGTACCTGTTAGCTTCGTTAAAACGCATTCGACGAAACATTTTTATCGGGGTGACAGTGCAAACAAACATCGTATTATTCGGTGTATCAGAATTAAAAAAGATACATATGTCTTTTTATCTTTTTTTACAAATTTATGGTACATTAATAAAACTATTATCAAGTTTACGATGAATAATTTGCCAAATGTTACTTCTAGTATTTTTTATTTCAAGTTTGTTTGATTCTTTCTGTTTCTGCTATATCAATACGTTAATAATTTTAATTGTAATACATTGTGTGTGTGTGTGTGTGTATTGTAATGTATAATGTAATTACTAATTGAAGTATAAATGAATTTGATTTTACTGTTAAATGTATGTATTGCAGGTAGGATACGTATGCATAAATAATATTGCCTTGATCGAAAAATTCATACTAATTTATAAATATAAATTTGATATCAAAATTGGCATGAACTTTCCGACAATTTAATATATATCTCAAAACTTATGCAGTTAAATTTTAATTACTTTTTTTTAACTTAAAGTCACAATTTTAATTTTATACGTAATTAAACTTTAAATTTAATTCTTTACATGTGTCGTGCAGAAAAGAAAAAAATAGATATACATATTTATAAGTAATGGTTATTATTTATTCAGTAGAAAATAACCGATCAAAAATACGGTAATTCCCTAAGAACGCGTTAGCAGTGTGTATGTTTTAAAAATATATAATTATAATTGTAATTATATATANTTATTATTATTATTATTATTATTATAACTATTATTATAACTATTATTATTATTATTATTATTATTATTATTATTATTATTATTAATATTACTACACTACTGCTACTACTACTACTACTACTACTACTACTACTATATTGTTATTATTTTTTTTTCTTCTTTTGTTTTTTCCACTTTTTTTTGTATCTGTACGTGTATAATATTTAATCCTCTATACGATGAAATAAATGCAATGCATGCAAGATTTTTGCGAAGAAAAGAAAATAAAGCTTCTTTTTAATAGCAGTAATATCATTTTTATATATATTCTTTTATATATATATACAGGACATCCTGTATAACTAAAGTTATATATCTCAATTAAAATATGCTAAGTATATTTAATTTAATTTGATCATATAAATAGATCATTCGAATCACACAAGGATCGATAAGACAATTAATTATTGAAACAGCTCTACGCACTGTGAGAAATTGTATTTATATTTACAGTGATCATGTTGTTATGAAATCTTCTTTTTTTCTTTTTTTATCGTCATATTATTTATCACGTCATTCGAAACTGTATTTAATCGTCTAATTTGCAATGATGTCTTATATACTTTAGAATATATAATATAGGATGTATTTGTTTAATATTGATACACATTATTAGCAATCTCTAATAAGTAAAAAAATAAATAAGGAACAAAAAAATAGTAGTGGAATTAAAAATGAAAAGTATAATGCAATTGCATATCAGATATTGCAGAAAAGCCCAATTTAAAATACATGGCAGTATAGTTGAAGACGAATCAATAAAAATTAGCTTTACGGTTTAACCGTAATTAGCAATTATCAATTTTGATATATCTAGAAATGTACATAGTCCAATTGAGTTACATAGTCGATTAAGAATTAATATTATATCCGTAACACGTGATATTATACAGGCTTGTTTAATTGAACATTCAAGGCTGCACGTTTTTTCTACTGACATTGAAATAACTAATTCTCGCTTATGAAAAATGATTGATGATCTTTCATGTATTATCGACTTATTAAATCTTGAATTAATTTCCATGTTAGACAATTTATAAAGAAAATTCAAACGGAAGTTCCAATAGTTTAGACAAATCTGATTGTATATATAACAGATATATCCTGAATTTCTAACAGGAATCTTGATTATTCTGTTTACAAGAAGCAACTTGCTGAGACGACGAACATCTGGATTGATCTGGTGTATTATTTTTTGTAATATCTCTACAAAAGATCTTATAAAACCACAATCAAACAAAAGGATATATCTTGACGATAAGTCAGTTTCTTTCAAACTTGATTATTATAAAGAACATTTAGACATTTTAATAACTCATTCTATCTATAACATCTCATGTAGATTATTTAGGCAACCGCTTCCTCAACAACAGAAGTTTCAGGAATAGTAGTTTCAAGCTTAGGTGGCTCGCTATCAGTCTTATCAATGTCCAATTGCATAGACTTGGAAGTAATTAGACTTTCGCTATCTTCAGTTATCTGCAGTATTTCTTTATTACTTGTATCTTCTACTTTATCCATCGTAACAACTGAACTTTCAACCAATGTTATATTAACGTTGTTAATACTTTTGATTACAGTTTCTTTGTTTCCTATATTACTCGATATTATACTCGAGGTTTCTTCCTTTTGTTGAATCGATTCCGACTGATCATTTTGTAGATTATCAAATTGTCCTAACATATTCTTTTGATCACTTTCCACCGAGTTACTTTTAACTTCTTGTTCACTTTGTTGTACACTACCAGGTTGGTTAGTTTGTTGATTAGATTGAATACTTCTACCTCTGCCACGATTACTTTGATGCTGCTGATTATCCGGAGGTGGAAGAATTGGAATGGCTGCCTTTGGTCGTCTTATGGGAGCTGTTTGTTGCTGTTGTTGCGCAGTACTATAATAAGTACAACCTTGTGGTTGAAATAATTCTTGTGGCGGAGGCGGTCCTTGCGCCTATAGAATCATTAATTAATATTTAATAATTTCTATATGAAATCAAACGACCAAGACAAACTTATTATCTTCTTTACTATGAGACTTACAGGAACTGGGGGAGTGTAACTTTGATATCCTTGAAAGTTTGGTGGAAATGCTGGCCCATTAGGGCCAGAGACATAATTAATTATGCTAGGAGGAGCAGTTTGAGATGGTATAAACTGAGGTGGTGGCACCAAAAATGGAGGTGGAGCATAGCTAGCAGGTTGACCATTTGGTGGCAAAGGTATTACTGGTTGTCCACCCATAGGCGCAGCTGGAGCAGCAACAGGTGCGGTTTGTTCAAAATGCCCAGGAGGATATCCTATGCAAATACGAGTCATAGTTTAATACTTTGAAACAGACTTACATCTCTTGAAAATGGTAGAAAACTTACAAAAAAAATCGGTACAGAAGTCATCCAATATTATTCACATTCAAATTCATCAAAAAAAAACAACATTTTTACGTGAGCGATAGCACGTCAAATCTTACCTTGAGAATCTAAAACTCCTCTTGAATTTCCAGCTATACAAATGCATATAAAATGATAATTAATTAATATTGCATATAGATATTAAATTTTATTAGAACAAGAGAGAGAGAGAGGG